AAAACAGTACAGATTTTGATAATTACTAAGAATATATCTGAATGAGCAGAGCTTGTAGTCTGAAAATAGACATTAAGTATGTTATACAGGTAATTATTTAATTCAAGGATGGTAAAGGTTGCAAAGAAAAAAAAAGCATGCTATATAGCCAGGTGTAGTATAAGATATGGCTGTGAGTAGGTGTAGTGGTCAGTGAGTAAAGTTGACATTTAAAATATGACAGGGTTGAGTTCAATCCCTGGTTCTGCAAAAAATAAAATAAAATATGACAGGGTGTGGGGTAGGGAAGAAAAGGTATAGGTGTAAAGAAAGAACAGGTGAGGAAACTGCGATTGGATGGGGTAGAGTGAGGACTAGAAGAAATTCAGCACAGTTAGCAAGGAAACTAGTGAGCTATGCCTGAGAACTTCATCGGGAGCTACATCATATGAGCCTTGTAGGGAATATGCGGGATTGATTGATTGATTATTGGTACCAATGATCATACTCATGGCCTTGCGCTTGCCAGGCAGGTGCTATGCTCCTGAGCTACCTCCCTGGTCCCTATGAAGAATTTTAGACTTCGATTTTAAAGCAGTGCAATGTTACTGGAAGCTTTAATTCTGTGGCGTGACATGTTTAGACTTGTGTTTCATAAACCCATTTTAGCAACAGGACAGGAATTGGGACAGGACCTGGGTAGAGTGGGAGAAGAGGATATGTGGGGAGATGAATTAGTAGATTGTTGCAGTGATATGAGAAATGCTGGTTGCACATGGGGCCATTAAAAATCAGAAATATAGTTAGATTTTAGAGATATTTAGAAAGAAGAGATGATTAGTCTTGGTGGCTAATTGAATGGGGGAATGAGGGAGTAGAATGGTGATTTCCACAGCTTTAATAAAAGCAGCTTAGTGAATAGGGAAGGAGGTGCCCATTGGCAGGAAATCATTAATTCAGTTTTGAAACTTGTTGATTTTGTGGTGTGCTGAGTCATCTAAAAGGAGATATTGCATGGTTGGATGTACACATTAGGTGTCTGAAGTGGAGATAATGCTTTTGTATTTTAGGGAAGGGTCTACAGGGT